GAAAAAAGAAAAAAGTTACACAGTTCTACATAAATGACAAAAACATTTAGTAACCCAAGTGCAAGTGCTGACAGGGTCAAACTCGTTGACAAACAGAAGCTCATAAAATATGCGTAAGACTCGCTTAAAACCAGATATTGTCGAGTTTAAACGTACGGGGTGAGGGAGTTGGTTCCACATAGGAACAATACGATTGAAGTAGAATCTTCTGTAAGTTTCGGTTTTCCAACGTTTGTCAACGAGTTTGAGATGGTTAGAATGACGAAGAGAACGTGAAGAGGCGAGAGATTCATTAAAAACGAAAAAAAAAAATTAAAATCCAAGTCATAATAGCCAAAGAAACATTTAAAAAAAACAAAAGATCAATTAAGTGCCTTCGAAAGGAAAGAGGAAGTAAATTAAGATAAATAAGGCGTTCTCTATTATAGTTGTAAGCAGGGTAGTTAAGAATGTAAGCGGAATCTCGGCGCTGCACTCCTTCGATGAGCATGAGGTTAGATTTTGTTGAACCGCTCCATACGGAGCTCGCATATTCTAGGTCATTACGGATAAAAGATGTGAAAAGTGGTTTAGTGACATACACGGGTGCATTATAACCAATCGCACGCTTTATTAGGCCGAGCTTTCGATTACATTTCTTGACCACCCTGCTGACATGGTTGTCCCATTTGAGATCTGCCGAGATGTCGACTCCAAGGTCCCTAATTACACTAGCCCTGCCAAGTGTCAGGCCATTCATACAGTAAGAAAACTTAACAGCTTTCCCAGATCTACTAATTGTAATGATCCGAGGTAACAGGCACACCCGAGGTAACAGGTAACCAGTCGGAGTGTGCCCCTTCGACAACAACTCGTTGTTTTCTATCTAAAAGATAAGCAGCAAACCAGTTGTGGAGTTTAGAATGAATATCATATGATTTGATTTTGTGCAGAAGGAAGTAATGAGAAACACTGTCAAAAGCTAATGAGAAACACTGTCAAAAGCTTTTGTGAAATCTAGGTAGATAATGTCGACTTGGCCAGCACTGTCCAAAACCGCGTTAACCTTTTCAAAAACAGTAAGTAACTTTGTAGTAGTCGAACGGCCTTTAATAAAACCATGTTGCAGAGGATGGATATGGCGCTTTAAACTAGGGAAAATATAATTAAAAATTAATCTCTCAAGAATCTTGCTGGACACACTCAAAAGCGATATGGGCCGATAGCACTCCACCTGGTGTTTGTCGCCTTTTTTTAACACTGGCACAACGTTGGCTTTTAGCCAGTCTACAGGAAGTTGACTAGTTTTCATTGATAGATTAAAAATAAAGCACAGAGAAGAGGCAAGTTCTTTTGCACATTCTCTAAGCACACGAGGTTGAATGCCTTCAAGTCCTACTGCCTTTGAGGTGTCTAGCTCATTCAACAAGTTGTAAACTTCCTTTTCACTAAAAACAATATCGTCCAATTCTTGAGGATCCTCACATGTGAACAGTAGGATACCCGTTGGGCCTTAGGTTTCTGAAAACAGAATAAAAATATCTATTGAATAAAGTAGCCCTCCCAGAGGCTTCAGTAGCAGATTCATTGTTAAAATACATCGTTTTAGGTATAGATCTAGACTTAGTTTTAGTTTTGATAAATGACCAAAACCTTTTTGGGTTGTCAGAAATAGCAGATGCAAGTCCACTGACGTAATCCCTATATTTGGACATAATGAGTATTTGAAGACTGTTACGTAGTTTACGAAATTTTGCCCAATGTGAGGGTTTATTGAATTTCTTGGCTTTTTTCCAGGCAGTCTTCTTTTTATTTTGATGATGTCTGACCTCGCCATCAATCCAAGAAGGTGAATTTGTATCGTTAACAGTAATTTTCTTGATGTTGTCATCAAGGGTCTTAAAAGTAATTTCAACAAAACTGTTCCAAGCCGTATTTACGTCAGTGGCCTCTAATACCATAGTAAAACAATTATTCGAATTAAAAATTTTACAAATAACATCAAACTTGGCAGTTTTAAAATTAAACACTTTACGTTTGTGACTATTTAGTCTAACTATCTTCGTTTTAATTATATAGTTTAAGAGGCGATGGTCAGTATGATAAAAATGATCAGCTTCGATTACATTAGACATTCTGGTGGTGTCGGATGTGAATACTAAATCAAGAATGTTGTCACAATTTTTACGAGATGGTAACATTTTCATTTGAGTCAAAAAAATGGTCACGAGTTGTGCTACAGAATTTGCCCTCGGAAGTGAATGGATTAATATTATGATCAAGACACCAGGAATGTTAAAATCGCCCAGCAGAAAAAGTTGATCGTATATATTCCTAATTTTATTAAGGGTTATGTCAATGGTGTTAGTGAACTCGTCAATCACTCCCCAGAAGCCCCTGTAACATGGAATATCCATATGCAACATGGACACTGTATTTTGTATTGTACAACTACTTTTGCTAAAAACCCTTTGGCTAGGGATAGGGAGGCTTCCATTAAAAAAAAAATGGGTGCCCATTTCAAACCCTGAAAAATTTTTTAATTTATTATTGTTGCACATACTTTCCTGACCACTTAAAACAGGACAAATTTATGAAATATGCTGCATTCTACAGACACATCAATGTAAGGTTTAATAAGTACCAGTCACACACCCTACATTTAGTTGGGGATCATAATTTTATGTCTGGAATAGTAGGCAATTTTATATAGTTGAGGTCAGGCTCAGAATGAGAAGAATAATTATATATGAAATTAAAATGTATAATTCTTACACCTTATATTTTTGTCACATTTAAGTTAGTTTCACCTACAGCTTGAGGGAGCAGATGAACCATGTGTTTCATATTGGCAAATGTTTCACTGCCAAGTATTCTCTTTAAATCAGAGACGACCTTGAAGATTATTGAAGTTGAATATCAGCATTGTTATATTTATGTTTACAAATTCATGCAAAAACAAACAATATATATATATATATATGTGTGTGTGTGTGTGTGTATGTATATATGTATATGTATGTATGTATGTATGTATGAGTGTGTGTGTATGTATGTATGTATATGTATGTATGTATGGGTGTATGTATGTATATATATATATATATATATATATATATATATATATATATATATATATATATATATACATATACATATACATACACACACAAATGATAGTACAGACTGTTAGATACTTTCAAAACACAGTACATACAAGGACACCTGCAGCATATTCAATTTTAAGTATTTGTATCTTCAGGGTTAGTATTTTTTTTTAAATACATGTATGGGTGGATCAATGTACAATGTCATCTTGGCATGAGGCTGTATTCTGACTTTTAGTTTTTAGATCCTAAATTAAATTTCCTTAAAATTTGTTAGTGAAATATAAACCTGGACAAGTGTGGCAAAACACATCTTCAGAATTGTATGCTAATTAGCCTCAACTTGAATTTGGCAGTTAATTGCGGATTAATCGGGATAATACAGTATTTTAGTAAAAAGAAATCAGACTTTGTAAATAACAACAAGCTGGTAGCAAACAACTGCCACCATTACGATGTACATAGTCGGTCTCTTATACACATCTAGATGTGTATAAGAGACAGGTGCAGCTAGGGTATAGACCCAAACGAC